TCTGGATCAGGTTTAAACGGCAGGATTTTGTTCTGGATCAGGTTTAATCGGCAGGGTTTTCAGTTGGACCTGGTTTGTTCAGATCTTTGACCCTTCTCTGTGAGGCAGGGACCAGGTCTTTGTTGGACCTCTTGGTTCTGGTTTCGGTGTCATGGAGCAGAATCTGTCACTGCGGGCCCGGTCGGGGGAAGGGCCCCTCCTCACCGACTCTTCTTCTTCGTCCTCTCAGGTCTGACGTTCAACGGGCCCTCCTCCACCCCGCCCACAGCTGACGTGGGCCCCCAGCAGACCAATGGCTCCGCCCCCAGCCCCCCTCCGAGCCACAGGGAGTTCAGGCGGCAGCTCACAGCCCTGAACTGCTCCGTGAGGGACTGGATCAGCAAACACGTCGACGACAACCCTCTCTGTGACCTGCACCCCATCTTCAGGGACTACGAGCGCCATCTCGCCAGCATCGAGCGGCAGTATGGAGCCGGCGCCGCTGACGGGGGCTCGGAGGAGAAGAAGCCCCCTGCAGCCACTCCTCCTTCATCCTCCTCCAGCAGCTCCTCGACTCCATCAGCTGCTTTGTTCTCCTTCAGTAAAAGCACCACTGAGGACTCGGCTCCGAAAAGCTCCGGCGCTGCTCCATCCACCGCCGGCGTCACGTTTAACTTCGGTCAGAAGGTGGACAGCTCCGTCCTGGGACCGTTGGGGTCCAAACCTGCCTCCTTCTCCTTCTCCACCTCCAGTAAGACCCCCCTGTTTGGGGCTCCAGGGTCCACCACCCAGCTGTCCTTCACTGGGACCAAAACCGAAGAGGTTCATCCTGCAGGTGAGCAGAACCGTTTCATTCAGTGTCCATTTGTTCCTCCAGAACCAGAAGATCAGAGGTTCTGTTGTTCCTCAGGAACCAGGATCAGAGGTTCTGTTGTTCCTCAGGAACCAGGATCAGAGGTTCTGAAGGATTTCCTCTGAATGATGAATAAATTCCAGACGTGTCTACAACGTTTACAGAAAGCAAAAAACCTCCAGAAAGATATAATTTTATAAATATTCTGACTTTAAACAAACTTTACTACATCGAGGGCTTCTCAGGCGGCCATCTTTGTTGACTGCTGGGGTGGAGCTTCCTCGTTCTCCTCCTCATCCTCTTCATCACTTTTACAAGAGAGAAGCTCGCAGCGAATTAAAGATTAAAACAGAAAAACTTTAGTCCTCAGTAACAGTACACAGCATACTGAGTAAAAGTACACAGTATACTGAGTACATGTGTATGGCCTTAGTAAAAGTACACTGTATTTTGAGTACATAACATTAGTAAAAGTACACAGTACAATGTGTACAAAATAAATGTATAAATTTAATCAAGGTGAGCTCATCCAGACTCAACACGTTGTTGTTGTTGTTGTTGTTGTTGTTGTTGTTTACATATTTGTGATCAACAACAAGAAGCAGCTGAAACTGACTCAGAGACAAAGCTGTTTGTTGTAATCTGGACAGAATAATCTGATCTTTTGTTGATTCATTAAAGCGTCAGTTTAATCTGTGGTTCATCTTTAGACCGTTTGTTTTCACAAGACAACAAGACGTTTGTTCAGTTTGACACCAATCTGACGCAGACGGACAACTGTCATCGGTTTCTCTTTGTTTGTTTGTTTGTTTGTTTGTTTCTCTGTTTGTTTGTTTGTTTGTTTGTTTGTTTCTCTGTTTGTTTGTTTCTCTGTTTGTTTGTCTGAGGCGACGATCATGGTCTCAGACAGAAAGCGCTCATGTGGACCCCTGAAAATTAATCCTGATAAGATTCAGTTTATGAATGGTCTAATCCAGGAAGTCATTTTTTCTTTAACACAGTCGGGATTATTTTTAATCTCATAGTTTGAAGTAAAAAGCATTTTATAGCATTAATACCGTGAATAAATGAGATTAATTCTGTTGAATGAATTTAATCCCTCCGTTCATGTCACAGGTGAGTTTGTGCTCTCACTTTAGAGTTCTGTTTTTGTTTAAATGAGTTTAAAGTTTTATTTGACTTTATTCTTGTTGTTCAGGCGAGAACGGAGACGAAGAGTCGGAGGAGCCGCCCAAACCGGAGGTGAAGGAGGTGAAGGAGGACGACGCGTTTTACTCCAAGAAGTACGTGAGAAACGAACGTGAAGTCTGTCGTCGACAGGAACTTCTCGGTCACTTCCTGCAGCTCCAGGGACACGAGGAAAAGCTCAGTGTCTCACCTGTTGTCTTCAGGTGTAAACTGTTCTACAAGAAGGAGGCGGAGTTTAAGGAGAAAGGTGTGGGGACGCTGCACCTGAAGCACACTGCCGACGGGAAGACCCAGATGATCGTTCGCGCCGACACAAATCTGGGTAAAAACACAAAACCCACATGGTTCTGAGCGGGCCGGTTCTGGTTCTGCAGGTCTGAACTTGTTAAGGTTCCACCTGAACGGTCACGTTGGAAACGTTCAGCAACTGAAAACTCCTTAAAAAAGATTCTCTGGATAAATATTTAACTAAATATGTAATAAATAAAATGTTTAACAGTAATTAACAGAATAAATGTTTAACAGTAATTAAC